CAACAGAGGACTTCAGGTCACTACATTCATTGGAAGTGTAAAGTGAGTTAGACATACTGATGTTTTGGATAAACAGAAGAAGATGGATGGATGGTTTAGTAGTTCATATTTAATAAATGAATACTGTACCTTTAGTTTGAACCCCGTATCCGGGGCCACACTCTGTGTGCCTGATACAGAAGTCATCAGCCGAGTAAAAGCCTTCTTTGCACCGACAGATCCTGTTGGTTGTCGGGGAGCACTCTGTTTCCACCTCCAGGTTACCTGTGCAAAGGTTACTGCAGTACAGACACCTGGGCAGGTAGTTCCACAGATCGGTGAAGTGGCCATTTTTGCACGGCTGACACTGTGTGGGTGTGGTGGCAGTGCAATGAGCAGACATGAACGTGCCCGGTGGACACTTGCGACATTTGAGGATTTCTCCGGTTACCGGGTCTCGGTGGTCAAAGGTGGGAACAGGATCCACCACTGAGGCACCACAGAGTGAACCAGAGAGCAGGACCAGCGCTGGCACGATAAGCTGTGAAGAGAGACGACACCTGATTATAAGTGCTGAAAATACCTCAGAACATGTGATTTGCTATGCCTGTGAGTTATAGCTCCCTCATCCTGTAGCTCTAAAATTTCACCTAAAGTAGTGGAAATATTTACTAGCTTAAATTGCACAACTTGAAAACGCAAGTCAAAAACAGTAACACAGGAACATGCATCAAAAATATGGAAGCATTTGTTTGTTTTTAATCCTCTCACATTAGCTGTGTTTTGTTTTTAAGTTGCCTCTTGTCTGATCTGACCTGATACACTGACTTTTCAGGGGCCAGAATGAAACTAACAAGAGGAAACCTCTTTAACCTCAATGCAGCATCTAATGGATAAACCATCTGTACACTGTAAGCACAAAAGAGTCCACTGTGGCAAACGTCCTCAACAAATCATTGATAAAAGTGATTAAAGTATTTAACTATTTCACGTTACATAATCAAATGTAATTAAACATAAATGCATATCTCTGTTTATTCTTTTTCTATTGTAAAATATTTCCCCATTTCTAGAATTTGCATACTGTGTAAAATAAACATAAATGAGTTTTTTGAAATTTGAACCTATCACGTATTCCCATTTTAAGCTCTATAGTTGTGTCAAATACTCACCATGTTCATGATGGGATGTCTGTCAAAGAGGATTTGACAGCACTCGGCTTTATAGGAACCCTTCCTGCGTGGGTGATGTGGTTTGTCTAATCAGCTGTAAACTTCATCTTAAAGGTCAAACTAGTTCTGTGTAGTAAAGCAATGTTATTGAAAAAAGAAACTGTCAGAAAATGGAAGGAAGTATTTGGAGTAATGTGTGATTTAGTTTCACTCACTGCCTGTTGCTAACTTTTTATGCGTCATCTCAAGTGTTGTGAGTTTTTTGGTTCCTCCTTGTCTGATAGAAATAATTCACATTTAAGCTCATTTTCAGATTTCACCAACTTGTTGCTGGGAGGTCACTGATATGAGATTACATGAATAGAGCATATAGTTTACTGTTTACTCTTAAAAGACCTTAAATCTTCTGTAAAGTGTAGGGTCAAATATACAGTGGCTTGCAAAAGTATTCGCCCCCCTTGAACTTTTCCACATTTTGTCACATTACAGCCACAAACATCAATCAGTTTTATTGGAATTCCACGTGAAATGCATGATTACTTTGTAATGTCATTGAATACACAGTGGAATGTGTAATATTGTATTCAAAGGTCCAAAGATTGCACAGTTTTAAAAGCTCAGTTGTTTCTTTCATTTGTGGGAATTTGATGAATATAATTTATAGCGAAATAAAGAAGTCTACAATGTTACAGTAATATATCTTATCACACATGAGTCACAGGTTTTTGAGAAATATCTGCCTTTGCACAACTTGAAAAACTTCTAAACTTTCAGGGAAATGTGTCTGTGCTGTCATTTGCATATGATGTGCGGGTTAATACAAATTTTTGATCTTTTTTTTTCTACCGCCTGGTTCTTGAAACAGGCAAAATCATACGTCACTGTGAGTCCCCCTTTTAATTTGCAGAATACGTCAGTGAGTCACTGATTGGGGTTTACAGTCTGATGACTTAGCAAAACGAACTGGTCAGTGAGTCACAGTAGGATCTTCATTTCTCTGTTCTCTTCCTGTTTCCACAGAATATGAGCATGACTCAGCTGTGGTGGGATGTGTTTCACTGTACTTGTTCATTGTATTTAATATGTTAATTTGACCAATTTGTGCATTTGATTTATATATAAAAAATAAGGATTTTTTTCCCCCATAATGGTCATGAGCTCATCAGGAGCCTACATAATATTATTCATTTTTTATCAATTAAGAGGTGAAGGAGTGTAAGGTACGGAGCCCCTCAAGGGACACGGGAGAAAAAAAAATTAAGATGGACTTTTGCGAGATCTCGCAAAACAAACTCGGGATCTTGCAAAAGTTTTAGACGCATCCTTCGGAGGCCGCCAGCTCGAAGCCGACCGGGAGGTCGAGGTACGATGTGCCGGGTGAGCGGTGTTCCTCCTGGCTGTAGTAGGTCTCGACCTCCTGTTAGCTTCGAAATGGTGGGTGTCAGACATCTCCGAAAACGTCGGAGCACTTTTGCAAATATGTGATGTCTTGTAAACCGAGCAGCTATTTGACGTTTACACAGCTACATTCACGCCTCAAAATATCTTAAAAGTTTATTTTGTGACCCAGAAAGAGTAACATTACAACTAAGTAGCTGCCGCCATTGTTGGAATTCAACTTTTGCGAGATCCCGCATTTTTTTTCTCCTATGTCCCTTGCGGGGCTCCGTAGTAATGGGTAAGTAAGTAAGGAGCAGGCTCACCTGGCAATAAAAGTCCTCCCAGCAGGCATCCTGTGCACGCTGAAGAATCCTGAGAGGAATGTCACGGAAGTCTCACCTGGGAAAGTTCCAACAAAATTTGAATCCACAAACTAAAAACACACCTACACACACCTTTTAGACTCTCACAGGTGACACACACGCAGAGCAGGTAGTTCCACAGGTATTGGGCACTTCTGCATGGCTCGCACTCTCTGTACACAGTGATGATGCAGTAACTGGACACGTGGAGCCTGTGAGTGTTTCTGTGGTTAATGGGTCTTGGTGCTCATAGATGGGATCAGAGTCCTCCACCCTGATGCAGCAGATCTCACCAGAGAGCAGGAACGGCACTAGTACAGAAAGCTGTGGAGACGAACAGTACCTGCTGATAAGTGTAGCTCACATACTACAGTTGTAATCTAGTATAACTATACTTATAGGCAACTAATTATACGATTCTGTAATAGTAATACCTCGATACAGTAGATGGTGTTTTTTTCCTTCGTCTCATAATGATCATCGTCTTGCATTGATGGCGATCCTGCTGAGGTCTGTATCCACTCTGACTCAGAAAGGCCTGAATTCTGAATTTTAAATAGGGGCAGGAATTTTCACTGGGAATAACTGGAAATAAGATCTAGGATATTAAAATCAGCAGCAGAAGGAAGGACAAAGTGTCTCCTCCCTATTTGATCCTCCCGAACCTCCAACATTTAAAGTGCTGATGGTTTAGGAACCAGCTGGTTTGGTGTGACTAACTTACAGCATCTCCCTTAAGCTCCTAACGACCAAGGATCCATTAATGCAGTGTTTCTTGTTTCCTGTGTGATGCTGTAAAACAAATGAAACTTAAGTTTTTCACTCAATCCTCAAGTGTGCTGTTTATTTTGGGATGGGCTGATAAGGAGTTTGAGGGAAAAGGGTTCAAAATTATCCTTTAGAGCAGTGGTCCCCAACCTTTTTTGCGCCATGGTCCGGTTTATGCCTGACAATATTTTCACGGACAGGCTAGTACCGGTACAGAAAAAAATACGATTTATTCATAACACACGTGAAAAGACCCAGGAAAACCGAGTTAACGATAAAAACCAATAAAACCCCTGAAAACCTTTACAGCCTGCAATAAAATGTCACATTTACTGCTTTGTCGGTGCAGGAAATGCTTTGTGCCCACAAGTACGACCTACATTTATCAAATGCCCTTTATTTCTTAGGTTCTAACTGACTTTGTATTGCACGATTCATGGTCCTAATTTTGTTCGTTAAATTATTATTGCAAACATGCCAGAATCCACAGTTTAAAAACGCTGTGTAGTCTAAAAATGCAAATGATGCCATATTTAAATGTGCTGATTTTCATATCTTTTTTCAGTTCTTCCTATGTGACCATATGACTTTTTTTTAGTTGAGTAGCACTTATTGTGAGTCCTTTTAAGATGTCATGTATCGTGCTGGCTTTGCGGAATTTACACGAGGTACACAAGGTTTAGAAAACTGCGTAGGTGTGTCGACTCAAAATCAGGTCAACCTTTCAGTCACATGCTGAAAACTGGCACTCGCTCATGTGAAATATGGGTTTCAAAACCAGATGATCTGAAATGTGACACAACCTCTGTGCGTAATTCAGAACGTATCCTGGCCATAAAAGGTTTTTGCACTCTTCACTTCTATGCCATTCAATCACTGAGTTCTTAAGTCCTCACCGCTACAGAAAAATGATACTGCCTGTGAGATATACATGAAATCAGCATCAAGTTATGATTATAGTACACATTACATGCACCGTGATCCTTTAACTTCAGACATTTGACCCACCATGAAACGTCAGCTGCACTTTCATACTTAGAGAAATCATCAAGGCCTATATCCAAATGTAACTGCAGTGCCTCTGTTTCTAATCCTGGCAGGCTTCATGTGCACTTTGGTGTAAATAGAAGCTACACTGACATCTTGGAAAAGCTGATCTAATGTAGGTGACTCACATCAAAGTGGCTCTGTCAGGAAACTCACTGTACGCCTTGATCGCTAAGCTGGGGAAGACCAAATTCTTCTCAGTCAAGAGATCAGAAGTACAGATTGTTTGATCCAGTCAGCCATTCAGTCCCCTTCCATCTCAGGGAAGGCACCCTTGGAGGATTTTAAAACTAAAAGCATACAATATAGTTGATTTACCAGAAAACAATGTTTTGGGGGGGGGGGGTTTCTCCAAAATTTAACACTGCTATGAAATCACAAGACTAAAATCGTCTGTCTGTTCATTGCATATTTATAATGAAACAATACATCTTTACACACTGAATTTAGTCAGATCATTTGTTATCAATGTTCACAACTTAAACAAGCTTAAAAAGGACCAGTCAGGCACATATACAACAAAGATCATACACTTATAGTAAAAATGCGATACAACAAAAATATAAAACAAATATCACTTCATTAACTTGCAGCATTTGGAATCCAGTATTTCTAAGAAGTAATAAACATAAGCCTTTACATGTTCAGAAAGTAAAAATTACTTTTTTTTAAATAGAAAACAATTGCACTCCTTTGTACATTCATATAAGTAACAACTACAAAATAATAACGATGAGCTTTGCTTGTCAGCAGTCCAGAACAAACACACCAACAAATGAGAAAAAATATTTCATTATGAAACCAAATCCTTCCTCTCAAACAGCGAGAAAGCAACAATAACAACATCTGCCGGACCATTTTCTATAAAATAGTATTAATATTTACATCTTAAATAACATTTTTTTTTAATTTTTCACAGACTCCAGTCATGAAGTTCTAAAAAATCTTTTTTTTTTTTTCAAAAACCTTTTGTTTTACATCCGTATTCAGTACACAGATGTGTGAACACCTCTTTTTTTTGTCAGATTCTTCCTTGCGGACGGTTAGCGTGGACTGAGGATGAAGTTATTAGTGCCTCGTTTAGGTCAGAAAAAAATCAGAGAAGGAAAGACGAATTTATCCATCTTTCCTTCCATGTTAAAGTTAGGAAAACCCATTTTTAGGCAGTATATGCATAGCTTTGATATTATAAAGCCCTCTCACTATTACAAAAAAAATGCACCTCCCTGCTCATTGTGTATCTTTTTAGTGTTCCCTTTTTTGTCAGTGAAATAGTGTTTATTTATGCTTTAGGTTGTATCTATTTCTATTTGTACCTGTGTACTGCTTATTCATTTAATGGCTTATGGGCTTTAAAACACGATCCATCCTGAAGCATACTGACAAACATCTTCTGAAACATCTTTTGTGCCGAGGTGGTTCCAATGATGCGGCTGATCTTCTTCAGGCCTTTGAGCAGATAACGTGGTGCCTGTTGGTTGCGCAGGACCCTGAGACTGTGAGACAGAGCATTTGGTAGGTCCAGGTTGTGGTTTGCTTTTTTCCAGAGGTGAAGAAGCTGCAGAATGTACTGCCTGGGGAGGCAAGAAGAGACCACGCCCTGGACATCCGCCTCCTTAACTTTGACTCCCGGCAAGCTGTTCGTTACCTTCATGAGGTCGTCGAGCGTCAGGTTTTTTAGACTGCTGCAGCGGGAGACCTTCCTCTCACAGTGGTTCACACCTTCAAATAAAGTATGTTTACATTAGTACACCAATGCAAAAATTAAATTAGCAAACAGATATGTTGAACAGGGCAAAATAGCATGTGAGCACAACACTCAGACGCTGCTCATATGTGTGGTCAGTTTGTGCGCTTGATTTAAATATTCTCCTCCCTGTATTTTGCACCTTGAGAAAGAAACTCACAGCAACATATGTGCAACTAGGTCAGTCTCTAAAATCTCTGAGTCTTTTTTCCTTTTTTTTTTCTAAACAAAAACCCAGTTTGTGCTGGTGCAGCATTCTTGTAAATCTTATTTTATACCTTGTATGAAGCCATACAGCTTGTCCTGGTCTTTGTTCTGCTCTCTCCACAGTCGCAGAAGGTGGAGAACCTGCTGCTGGGGAGAGCAGGTCTTCTTCAGCCTCTCCAGGCTTTTGCGATCCACCCTCTTCCCAGGAAGACTGTCCAACAGTCGTTCCAGGGGCACCGAGGAAAGTCGCAGCGAGGCTAGCGACTGGAAAACCGCCTCTTCACAAAGAGTCACATCTGGAAAGAGAAGCAAAGTGGGCTTGAAAACACACACATGCACAAAAGTTCTGGATAGTGACATGCTTGACATCCATTTGCTTAAACCAGAAGGAATTAATATATGTAACATTTGTAACAACCTGTTACAAATGAGTAAATGTTCACGAGTACTAAAACAACTTTAGTAAATTCCAAACCATTGGCCGTATGTATTCCAGTATGACAAGCGGGCTGGTAGAGTGACACCTGCCCAAACATGGCCCAGCTTTTAGTACAATGCTTGACATCTTAGTGCGATCAGCTATGTTAAACATATTTATGTCTTTTAGATCTTTTATTTTTCTCCCCTTGTTTAAATCGGTATCTGTAGATAATGCCAAACTAACCTTAGAGGTTCCCACCTAAGTCCCAATTGCACATTTGTGGAGCGATTCCACGACAGTTTGTGGTGGCACGTTACCGCATGTTTGCACACTTTAAATAGACATCGCTGTGTAACTGACATTACACACTATGTTTACTGACGTAACAGTTTCACTATGTTTTGCTTATTCATCTGTGTCACTGCAACTCTTCAACCATAAAATCAACAGCAAAGACTCCATAGTCTCCACCTTAATAACCTCAATCTGGGAATCTGGGATAACAACATAAAGTAACTTTTTTTTCTTTTTTTTTGTTCCTAATTGAAGGCAGTTTAAAATTAGATATAACGGATTTTAACATTTCAATATTTCATCAGTTTACTTCTGCATATTTTTTGTGTTTGCATGTGTTTTGCCTATGTTTAGAGTGTTGCCTTGTAATTTGACCACGAGAGAACCACAGCTGTCTTTTCTTTCTGTTACTCATTGGGATCACTCCTACTAGCCGAGCCAAACTGTAGCCGAGCCTGTTGCTCTACATTTTTTAAGGCAGCCAAGCGAACATTCTTCTTCCTGCTTTCGCTGAGGACACTCCCAACCGGACACACTTCATATAATGTGCAATTTCACATCCTTTTTATTAAAGATGATGTGAAATTACACCAAATTTCATGTTTCATGTTGATCATTTCAGTAATTTATGAGTGATGTAATTGCGGCTCGCACCACAACTAACAGTGACTTCCTGGTGGCTTAATACCGACTTTGGGAATCCCAACTGCTTTCAATTTTACATTTTTTGCTCAGAAACACTGCTAAGCTGTTCCAGGATTTGAAGCAGGCACTCTGCGGTGGTGTAGTTACCAGGAAGGCAATTTGTGAATGAATGTTTGAGGAGAGCATCACCCTCCCAGAGGGACCACAGCTTTGTGTGTTTTCGTCTAAGTGTGGCATATGAGTGCGCCAGGGTCTGTACATCTGCATGTGTGTGTTCTCCAGTGTCTGTGGTTTCTCACGGTCTGGGAATTTAGTGTCATACTTGCGGCTTCTCATCTCAAATTATCCTTCAGCATCTGTCACAGTCAAAGTCTGAGTAACAAAGAGCAACCAGCGTGCCTTGCATCTCCTTTGACTCAGTTTCCTCTGTTATTGTGTTTGGGGATGTGACAGTTAAAGGGGGTAATTGATCCATCATGGGTCTTTTTGACAACAATGCCATAAACATCCAGCGTTCAACCCTTTGGTTTTCACTGCTGTGTTGGTTTTAAGGCACGCAAGAATTTGCAAAAGATTGGAATCTGGACAGCGAACCTGACCGAGGAAATCCCCTGCCTTTAGGAGTGAAAATGACCACATGTTTGAAATAATTCACTTCAAGTTGATTTTTAAGTTGTTGACAGCTGAGGTTAACTCAACAACACTGGTGCATGTGTGTGTGCGCACACATTTATGTGTGTGTGTTGGATAAACACTGTGCTAATGATCAACCCAGATTCCAGGATTAGTCCTAAAACGTTCCATATGATCTTTTTCTGCAGCGCCATGCCCAACATGACAGCGCGTGTGTTCTCACCAGTCTGGCACAAAGTGTGATGATGAGAGCACTCCAGCGTTGCCTTCTTGTCCGGAGTGCCACACTGACTGTCTGCAGTGGACGTGCCCCATCTCAGTGTCTTGAGGCCCAATTCTGAGCAGTTCGTGTGAGGCTGGCACGGCTTGGTGGAGGAGCCACCCGGGGAGAAATGACCATCAGGGCAAAGTTCACACACTGTGTCACTCACTGGCGTACCTGGAAGAGATTTACAGAGATAAGTTTTGCAAATGAAAACTGATAGAAGTGACGCTTCTGAGCATGTGAGAAAGCACCTAACCACAGATTTTTTTTCTCATCTAGAGCTTCAACTGAAACTCAGCCATTTTCACCATTTAGTGCAAAAAGAAGCAGATGTGATTCTAAGAACCGCAGAGACATGTGAAAGCTCATCATACTGAGAGCGTGTTTCAGAGAATGACTCATATCAGTCGTAGTCACTACACCGCCTTCATTCTGTATCTTACATGCTCTTACTATGATGTCATGTGACTTAGCTGCAATTTGATTTGTCAGCTGATTGTTTTGCAGCCAAAGCCACTTCTAATAGTAATACGTAGGCATGTTTTGAGAACTTTATTTTACAGTTGATTTACTATAATATGCTGCGACTTTAAAACCATATTTAGATACGTGATCTTTTTTTTTATAATCTCATTTGACAGTTGCCACAATAACATTACAGGAAACCATCACAACTTCTGGTATATGACCATCAGCACGCATGACAGTCCATGAAGTGGAACTAGTATTCACATCCTCATTTTATTTTGATCTTGAAGTGAAAGTGCGTGGGACGACAAGCCATGCTTATTTCAGATTTAACCTTTGATTAGTTTCCCGCTACCATGGTACAATGCGTCCTTTCTTGAAAACATATCGTCAAATAGGAAACCATCGCCTTATATGCATAAAAAACAATCAAAAACGTTTCCTCTGCGAGTCATGACAAAGCACGTACTCTGTCAGATGACAACGTGACAGCCTATAACTGTAGTATGACAGTTATATTTTATTGCTGACTTTAATGTCAATTTCTCAGAATTTCCTCTGCAGAAAAAAATTTAAAGAATGCATGTCAGCACTTTGCTAAAAGAAATTGCTTTAGATCTGATTAATGGTGCACATATTATCGTTAATGTTTATGTAATACAAGGTTTACTAGTTATTGACTAAAGACTCTAGACACGTATAGATGAAACACATTGTATGAATCATTGATTTGTTGTTCATCAAAGTTTTATTATAATGACAGCTTATAATAGTGATAATATTAACTACTACTATTGTTAGTAGTTGTAGTTGTAGTTTTGTGTGCAACTTTCGATGCTGCAGTTGTTCAGTCTGCTCTAGAAAACTGGTTTCCAAGTTAATTACTGCTGATTATTTTAATCAAGGAAGTCGTCACCTGACTAAATAAATGTTGAACAAAAATAAATCTTGGGTATTTTGGAAATTTTGATGATCTAACACTTGTTTGCCTAACAATATAATGATCAAACAAACATGGAAGAGGCAAAAAAAAAAAATTACTCACGAAAACTTGATTTGCACGCTGTTCCCCCCTCCCCCCGTACTGTCTACCATATCGATCGGATTCCAAAAACACAGATGAACCACATAGCAAATCCCATTCGGAGAATGACAAAGAATTCTAACCAGAAACAAACAATCAGGAGATCAAGGGGGAAAGGACGGAGTCATAAAAGGCTTGTGTTGTCAGAAGACTGACCCAGCATCCTGTGGTTTAACCACAGCTCGAGGCATTACATAATAAGTTTTTCAGCTTCAGTGGGGGGGGGAGATCCCCTAAATTGCTGTCTCATGTCTGCTGATTGTGGATTAAGGTCAGTGGAATTTATGGAAAAAAGTATTGCAGGGGTCACATGATAACCACAATCGATGGAAAATGTTGTTTCATCCTTGTGATTTCTGGACTCTGGTCCAAAGTTTAACATGAAGTCATGAGAAGGTTGGTGTTAGTTTATGCTGTGGTTCCAGTACAAATACCAGATTCAGTGCACTGGTATGCTTAAAATCAGACTTTCTCACCAACAGTTCCTACAGACACACTAAGGAAGGAATCTGAAAAAAATATCAGATTGGATGTCCACTATGATATTGGCGCATGGTTATTGTATCAGGTGTTGATGGACACAATACCTCTTAAGCATGAATGATAGTTGCATGGACTCACGCAGCTGCAGAACATTAAAAACTCACCAGCCACTTTATCAGGTCTTTGTCTAACTGCTTGTTAACAGAAATATCTGGTCAGCAAATAACATGGCAACTAGAGTTCAAACTAAACATCAGAAAGGGAAAGAAAGGTGATTTCAATGGCTTTAAACGGTTGGTGCCAGGCAGACTGGTCCAAGTATACAAAAAACTATCTCTAGGGTTTATAGAGAATGGTCAGAGGAGACTGAACAAATGGCTTTGAGCTTTTAGGAAGGCAAGAGGCATATTTGATGCTCTTCTGCATACCTCTTACGCAGCAGAAGACCACACCGGGTGCCACTCTTTTCACCTAAGAGCAGGAAGCCGAGGCTATCACGAATCCATGGATCCGTCCTGCTTTGTATCAGTGGCTCAGATTGTTGTTGGTGCTGTTATGTTGTGGGGATATTTTCTTGGCACAATCTGGCTCCCTTGGTAACAACTGATCATCATTTAAATACCGCAGTTTATTTTTGATGACCATGTCCACCCCTTTATGACCATCTTCTGGTAGGTGTTCCAACAGGATAATACACCTTGTCACAAAACTTAGAACATCTCAAACTGGTCTGAACATGCACCTTTGGGATGTGATGCTGACAAATCTGCAGCAACTGTGTGATGCTGTCATGTCAACATGTAATCTGAGGAATGTTTGCAACACCTCCTTGAATGTAAGCCACAAATAAGGCTCCAACCCAGCAACAGCAAGGTTTACCTAACAAAGTGCCTGGTGAGGATAGATATATAGTCATTCCTGTTACAGTTCTTTAAAGTCTGCTGGTTGTGTTGTAGTAAACTACTATGCAGAAGTCCATTTGGAGCCTCATGCCAACCAATAGACCTGCACGGACCATCGCATATACAGTGGGGCAAAAAAGTATTTAGTCAGCCACCGATTGTGCAAGTTCCCCCACTTAAAATGATGACAGAGGTCAGTAATTTGCACCAGAGGTACACTTCAACTGTGAGAGACAGAATGTGAAAAAAAAATCCATGAATTCACATGGTAGGATTTGTAAAGAATTTATTCGTAAATTAGGGTGGAAAATAAGTATTTGGTCACCTCAAACAAGGAAAATCTCTGGCTCTCACAGACCTGTAACGTCTTCTGTAAGAAGCTTTTCTGTCCCCCACTCGTTACCTGTATGAATGGCACCTGTTTGAACTCATCATCTGTATAAAAGACACCTGTCCACAGCCTCAAACAGTCAGACTCCAAACTCCGCCATGGCCAAGACCAAAGAGCTTTCGAAGGACACCAGGAAAAGTATTGTAGACCTGCACCAGACTGGGAAGAGTGAATCTACAATAGGCAAGCAGCTTGGTGTGAAAAAATCAACTGTGGGAGCAATCATCAGAAAATGGAAGACATACAAGACCACTGATAATCTCCCTCGATCTGGGGCTCCACGCAAGATCTCATCCCGTGGGGTCAAAATGATCATGAGAACGGTGAGCAAAGATCCCAGAACCACACGGGGGGACCTGGTGAATGACCTGCAGAGAGCTGGGACCAAAGTAACAAAGGTCACCATCAGTAACACACTACAACGGCAGGGAATCAAATCCCGCAGTGCCAGACGTGTTCCGCTGCTGAAGCCAGTGCATGTCCAGGCCCGTCTGAAGTTTGCCAGAGAGCACATGGATGATACAGCAGAGGATTGGGAGAATGTCATGTGGTCAGATGAAACCAAAGTAGAACTTTTTGGTATAAACTCAACTCGTCGTGTTTGGAGGAAGAAGAATACTGAGTTGCATCCCAAGAACACCATACCTACTGTGAAGCATGGGGGTGGAAACATCATGCTATGGGGCTGTTTTTCTGCCAAGGGGACAGGACGACTGATCCGTGTTAAGGACAGAATGAATGGGGCCATGTATCGTGAGATTTTGAGCCAAAACCTCCTTCCATCAGTGAGAACTTTGAAGATGAAACGAGGCTGGGTCTTCCAACATGACAATGATCCAAAACACACCGCCCGGGCAACAAAGGAGTGGCTCCGTAAGAAGCATTTGAAAGTCCTGGAGTGGCCTAGCCAGTCTCCAGACCTCAACCCCATAGAAAATCTGTGGCGGGAGTTGAAAGTCCGTGTTGCTCGGCGACAGCCCCAAAACATCACTGCTCTCGAGAAGATCTGCATGGAGGAATGGGCCAAAATACCAGCTACTGTGTGTGCAAACCTGGTAAAGACCTATAGTAAACGTTTGACCTCTGTTATTGCCAACAAAGGTTATGTTACAAAGTATTGAGTTGTATTTTTGTTATTGACCAAATACTTATTTTCCACCCTGATTTACGAATAAATTCTTTACAAATCCTACCATGTGGATTCATGGATTTTTTTTTCACATTCTGTCTCTCACAGTTGAAGTGTACCTCTGGTGCAAATTACTGACCTCTGTCATCATTTTAGGTGGGGGAACTTGCACAATCGGTGGCTGACTAAATACTTTTTTGCCCCACTGTATATATACACAGAAACTACAGAATAATAAAGTCTTTGTAAGGTCTGAGACATCACACTGACTAAGTTGAAACTGCCGGAGAAACTAGAAACTGTTGCATCACATTATTTCTAAGAGGAAGCACAGGAAGGGCGAAATAAGTTGATGATTCATTGCTCAAGTTTCCTCTTTATGCTTTACAATTTGCATTATCAGGTACAAAAGGAACAAATGAGAAAGTGCTTTCACTCTTTCAAAATGTCACATTATCATCTGTTGCTTACTTTTAAAACCGAAGACAACAATACTGTGCAAATAATAATTTATCTGAGGGTTGTGGAACATAGAAGATTCATTACACTCTGATTTAGCTTCTCTGATTTACATAAAAACCTTTGAACACTACAGGATGTGATAAAAAAAAAGTCACAGATAAAGCTACATGGCTAGCTTTGAAGGCCTGGAATCAAAGGAAATGAGTTATAGCTATTATAATGATATATACATTTGCTGTGGTTCATTTGGCGCACACTGAATGACACAAAGTAACCTGAATTTTCTGAGTGATGCCAGTAGACAGTTTGTTTTCACGGTTTGATGAACTCTGGAATGGACAGGCATTTCTATAACTAGTCTTGCTGACCATTCAAAGGACTTCATATCACTAACAACACAGACTAAAGTGGAAGAGACTGAGTCAGGTCAGACATGCTGTATATCAGTGCTAGAACACATGAAAGTTCTGTATTAGATACATTTTGTGGAGAAAGGCTATAGTTACGTATTTCACACCTTCAGGACATACGTGACTGTTTTATTTGCACAGACACTTTATGATGTCAAGACTAACTTTTCAAGTTCTCCTGTTGACTCAGAAACAAGTTATCAAGTTATTTTGTTTTTTCTCAACATGGACAAATGCATTTATGCGCCAGTTACTCAGCTTAATCGTGCATATGTAGCAATAAAGTTGTTAAGATTGTTCTTAGCTACAACTTAACTGCCCGTTTCACACATCTAGCGCTCTAGTTCACAAGTACAACAAAGCATGCTTTGCATGTTTTAACAGCTACATCAAAAACCCTGATAGCCTCTCACTGCCAGGAAACACAGAGCAGGAGATGGTGAAAATACCTCTGTGAGGAAGACACACAAACAGAGAAGTAGGACATTTCTAAGAAACACTTTAAAAAGGTTTTTTTCTGTGAAAAGGGAGATGCTCATCAGGAATGGGTTTGGTTCACATATTCGGAAGAAGAGGAAGAAAAACCTGGTGTCTGGTAATATAATTAAGAACATATCTGAATGTGAAAATGTAACTGACGCATCTCTCTGCTTTATCAAAGTTCCTGACAGGCCAGTCCAGTGTAACCCGCCCGGGAAATTGGTGAGATCAAAAGAAGATCAAAGAAAAGATACTTGTTACAGTGACACGCAGACTGAGTGTGCCTTTGAGCACACATACTGCACTTTTCTCATGTTTACTCACTAAGATAAACCACTACAACTGTCTAGTCTACATGCAGACTGAATTTACTCTTGCGCTATTACAGACACCTGATGTCAGCAAAGTCAAATTCCATTGTACACGGTGGGCTTCATGCAGCCCACTTAGATTTTAAATGGGCTGGACCATTGAAAGCCCTTTCCTATCAGTTTAACTATGCATTTGATATGTGAAATAATATAATAATATAAAATCTGATTATTTATTTTTAAAAAGTATAACGGAGTGTTTCCCCCTGATAAAGGAATCCTGCAGTAAATGAAAGAAACTGTTTATTTACATGTATTTCCTACTGCCTACACTGTAAGAAATAAAAAGGTTCTGGCAGCTTGTCGCCACAGAAAGTTTTTGTTCATTAAAAAAATGCCTATTTTATTTATTTATTTATTTTACTGTGAAAAAATTCTATAGTAGATCATAAAAAAATGAATTGTTTCTGTCATTGAATTGTTTATCTGTTATTTCATTACTTTTGGTGCCTCTGGGGGAGCGCTTTATCGGCAGGAAAAGCTGTAAAATGTATTAAAAAATACAATTGAAATTAAAAATGTATCTCCTTTTTACACTTTCTAAAGATTTCCAGTGGGCTGGACTGCAGTCTTTGTTGGGGCAAATCTGGCCCGCGAGCCTTATATTTACACTCCTGCTTCTGGTAGCAATCTACTCATTTAAGTCCAATTTACACAAAGGTTTGACGTCACCCTGGAATCTCCTTTCTTTAGGAGGAAAAACACATTTGTTTTATTTGATATGATATGGAAATAGTCAGAAATGTTGTAAATGATTACCATTAATCATAAATTATTGATTGCTTTTAATATACATAACATCTGCAGAGGCCCATTTTTCCACTTGAGTGGCCTTTTGTACAGCTGGAAACAGTTTCTCTCCCTAATCAAGCAATGAATTTGGCTACTTGCAGGACCACAGAAATATCTTCACAGACCGCTGCCTTAACAGAAGTAGCCTGAGTTAACCACAAAAAAAGAAAGCAGGAGGCGTCAGTGCAGAATGCCTCCCAGGTCCTTGACTGGCAGCTTCAGGAAACGGTGGTTTGTGAAAGGAACGGTACTCTTGATTTTTTTTGTAAAACAATAAATTTGCAAAATGTTGCACCGGAACAACAGCTGCTGAAAATGGGCCTCAGTAGCAATTTGATTAAAAATCATTATCTATTTATGATTTTATTAATTCTTAACTGCCTTTTGCAGAATTTCTGATCATCATTTTCAGTTAAAAAAAAAAATCAAAGCATTTTGTGCTGCTCAAACCAGCTGTTTTCGTTTTTCAAACAATTCCTATAGAAACTGCTCAGTCTGAATAATATTCTTAATGTGGATGTTACTCTTACCTAAAGCTGCCACTCCATATCCAGGTGAACAGGCCTTGTGTGCAATACAGAACTCTATCACTAGGTGGAAACCTGGAGCACATTCGCACAGCTGATCATGAGTGCTGTTGCACTGCTGCTTCACTAGCTGTCTCTCCTTACACACCTAAACGGGAACACAGAGAGGTCACACATGTGAAGCTGTAAAGCTGCACACGCACAGAAAATGTAGGTAAAAGTTTATTTGCATGCGTTGCTATAAACAACACAGCAGTTCACAGCAATGCAGGTCATAAAGAACATCATGCTTCCGCTCTGCAACTTGTCTCAAATATCATATTTGTTGGGAAGACGAAAACTGAAATTAAAAAGCATCACAAAGCAGACATGTTAACAATACAAGGATTATCATGAAAAAGCGGTGATTGCGTAATTTATCTGGAGTTGCGGAGGAGAAACATCAAAACTCTGGGGGAAGATCATTCTACCACAATGAGCAAACTGGGACTTTCATTTTTAGTAACAAAAACTGAAGTGGAAATACTGGCTTAAAAAAAAGACAAATGCAGCACCAAAACATAAATAAACAGTAAGGTCATGCATCTTGGGAAAAGACACCAGCAAAGCCACATAAAAGCACCACTGAAAAAAGCTGGAAGACAAAAAACTAAAGGTATGTGCATAATTCCTGACCATACTTTGATTTCAGCTCTGGGAAATTCTTTTAGGTATGAGACGATACATTGATCTTTTTTTACTACAAAATCCAGTAATTGTCACAAAAACCAGTCAGTTACGGTCTGAACACACAACAAAGGAACCATTATCGGCCTCATGAAACATGTAGCCCTAGTTTCTATTAAGAAGAAAAACTAGAACTGAATGTTAGGTTGATGGCCTCATACGTACCGAGGTGCAGTACTGGCATTTCTCCCCCCAGTGCCAGTTCTCGGCGAAATGCCTGTCAGGACAGGGCTGGCACTCTGTGGGCATGTCGGCAGTGCAGTGTCGTTTCACCGCTGTGCCAGGTGGGCACTGGTTACACGTGAGGAACGCGGATGTCGCGGGGTCACGGTGCTGGTACGTTGGTTGTTCAGCTTGCTGCTGAAAGGCCCAGGAGAGAGAAGCTGTCAAAAGCTGCAAGAGAAAGAAAGTAAGTCACTTCAGGAACTGACTCAACAGCAGTGACAAAATCTCTAATGAAACCCGTCTCGTGAACAGCTTCACTTTGGCAAAAGAATCAAATATTTTTATATTTTGGAGCACTCGCCAACCCAAAGATTCCAGTAAGAACGAGTTGACTGTAAGGTCAGAGCAGTAAAGCTCCTGGTGGACATAAGGTCCTGTTCTTTCTGCTGCTCTTCAGAGTGCAGTTCAGAGAATCAGAATAGACTAGTTTCTCTGAAATTGATAAATTGATTACTCTATAGGGACAAATTCTCAGGAATAACACAAGTGTATTTTAAACTTTTGGGGCAGTAACGTCCCTTTTTTTTTGCCTCAACTCGTCATTATTTTCAGTAAATGCTTTTTGTTGATCTCAACTTTTAGGATTAATAAAGGGATCAAAATGATTTTATTGGCCTTCTGGCATCATTTCTCATCTGTTTGACTTTAATCCAAAGCTTTTTAAATGAATTCAGATGTTTCAGTCATGCCAAAATTTTCTACACATTGAAATAAAAGAAGTGCATGACACAGGATTACAGGCATTAGTTGTGCAGCCTTGTGTTCTCTGCCCTCACTAGCAGTTCCCTACCCATGCCGGCAGCCCCGTAAGCTCGGCTGCTTTGCAGCTGAAAAGCATCTGATGTGATTCAGAGGTGATCTATCGCACTTTAATACTGTCCCAGATTAAGATCCACACCACACCCACACTCTCCTCAGCCACCCAAAACCAGCCCATCGTTATGGATACTCTGTAAAGTGGGTGGTTTTCAGCGAGGCTCTGACAAGCCTGTGTAACTAATGACAAAAACAAGCCCATGTATCATCGCCTAGGCAAAAACTGAAACGCTTGGTTCATTTCTAAAATATGAGATATCAGTTGGTGAGCATGTTTAACATGGAGCCAATCTAGCTGGTCGAGGGCACATGCAGACCAGCTGTCACACATTAGGCTTCTTCCACTCAAAGGCCCTTAGCCATTGGTTCTTTGGACTTTCCCGTTGGCCCGGATACATCCTCACTGCTTGGACGACTAACCAACAATAGACCGTCTTGTATTGTGTGTGAGTGTGTGTTTGCATGTGGTTTCTTGCTTCATATCATGTGTGCATCTTCAAAAATAAATGAATTTGTATGACAAACAACTAAAAAAAAACTCCCATGCATGTGTGTGCAGGGGTGCGAGCATGCAGGAATGCGTGCGCGTGTGAGTGTATATGGGTGTGTGCGTGTTAGTCGATGTTCATGTCCAATTACCATCTTCCTCAGAGCTGGTTTGCGCGCTCTGTGGTCTCCTGGCTGCTGTTCATAAAGAGTACTGTTGGAGGTTACTGGGCTTTCCCCATTCACCACCAGAATACAAAACAGTCACCCACTCTGTTCTACAGATTACCCGCAGCACACCACTGATCTCCTTCCTGCGTGCATGCATTTGTACTTATCCCATTCACCTTAGAACTCGGAGCCACAAAAAACAGTCGACTTTGTGCAAATGAACATGCAACTAAAGAATGGCTGGAAAACCAGAATGTGTGTGTGTGTGTTACATGATGACTGCCTCTGTATCCTTTAATCAATATTGAAGAATAAAAAGAAAAAAGGTCTTTTCACCAGAAATCTACGCGTGTTTATGAGTGGGTGTGAGTTTGGGAGAAACAGTGTGCAGTACAGCTGCGACTTCCCTGTCCTGCCACATGTTACTGAACAAACTGCCCGTTCTACAAATGACTACAAATGACGTGTTTTTCCTAAGCGTCACTGCGTTTACGTCCACACTACTACTCTACGTGCACCCTGCATATACGCGTTTTGTTATTTGCGTCATCTTATTCTGTTTCCCTTTCCAATGGTCATCACCGAGGAAGACGGCAAAAAATAGATGAATGGGTTTCGCACACCATAATAGAAACCTAACATCAAACAGCCTGGAGAGCGCAGTGCTTTTCCCGGCAAAACCTATCGACCTCTTCCACCGAATGTTCAGTGGAAGGCTTTCATCAGCGACTTGCTGAGCAGTAGCATGACTTTGTTTGTAGTCTGGGTGGCCCCAGCAGGATTCAAACCCATAATCATAGTCTTACTCCTCAAATTAAGAAATGTGTATATACACTCCATTAAGCCCAGAGACCAAATCCAATTGATTTAGAAACAGGAGAGTGGAGTATGCTGAGTGACTAACAGAGGATCACCTGGATCATCCAGGTGTGGTTTACTGGCAGGACAGTCCAACCCTCGGTCAGAGCCCGTGATAAACGTTTGCCCCTTTTGTTTTAGAAATCCGTGAAATGGCACAATAGCTTGCCATGTGCATGCTTGTCCCTCCCTCTGTCTGTCTATATGTGCTTTCTGCGTCACAGTTAAAGTCATGTCCTGCTTTATTTTAGCAATCTGCTTCATTCTGTATCTTTTTTGTAGTTGCTGTCTTTGCCTTTATTTTACCACCTTTGTAACCGATTTCCACCTCCCTACTAGTTCCACCTGCGTTCTCTCATTTAGTGCTCTTTGCATGTACACTGTATAATCCTGTCTTTCCCCTCTGTATCCCTATCATGCCTTTCATCTTGTTTCAGTTTAGGTTTTGATGTCTAGTGCTTGTACCTAGTTTTGTTGGACTCTCATGCACCTTTTGTTGATTTTAATCTATCAAAGTTCATTTTTTTTATTGTCAGCCAATCTGTCCTTGTTGTCCTGCCTTTAGTACTTTTTGTGAAATAAGTTTGATTTGCCTAAATCTGTGACATGCGAGCACAAAGCAGTGACAGGAAATGTATAAAAGGCAATAAAAATGAATGAGTACAATGATGCTTTTTAGGTTGGGTTTGAGAAATGCCTCGGTTGTGCAGTGTACCGATACACAGTACATGTGTTCGGTGCACATATGCTTTCGTCATCTTCAAAGTGAATGAACCAGAGGCCTGAGAAACAGATGTAGCAGACTTTAAAAAAACAAAAACAAAGTAAAACTCAAGGCCAGCCCTAATAAAGTATAACAAGTGTTTGACAACAAGTAGTGTTGTTCAACAGATGTTTGACTCCATATTGAAAGATTATTGCATATACAGATGTTATCTCTCAGATCATCTGACTGCATGTTTTTCAGAGAAGGTTCTACACATTATTTAAGGCCCTTCCTGCTTTCTGGTCACTTTCTGATGGGCAGCACTAAATTATCCCAACCACCCAGCACGGTAGCTTTCTGCTACTGAAGAAGAGAAAATGTCAACTTTTTAAAAATTAACCCACTGGGATGGACGTCCTGTGGAGCATGTGACTCCATCTATCAAGAGCTACGGAAGATACTGAACTTTTCACCCGTCTGTCTCCTTAGAAGCTGCCATCTGACGACATCATGGACGACCACGGGAAATCTAAATTACACAGCAGCTAGGGGCCACTGACAGCCATAATTATAATGTTAGCATCATCAGAGGAGTGCTTAGCAAGGGACATATCCTATTTGGAGCTCAGCCAGCTCAGAGGAGAAAATCAAGGGTGAAGGTACGGAGGTGGTGATAATTTTCTAGCATTCCTGTGCAAAAGCCCTTGAGCAAGGCAGAGCAGCTGCTACATGTAAATGATTGCAAGCGACGCTGGAAAACGGCTTGCTGGAAAAGGAGGCTCAAAAAGTTCCCACATTTCTGTGGATTAAACTAAAAAGTTTGAATAAAACAGTCTATATTTATACTGGATAAACCCGCTTCATCAGATATAGTTTGCTTATATAACCTGTGCCAGCGAATCCCGTTTGAACTGAGCTGAGCAAAAAGCTTCGTGTTTATGAGGAGAAGTTTGTACCAATGCTTTAACAGAGAACATGTGCTGCTTTAAGAGATGTTTTCTCTTTAATAAAGACAAAACAAACAGCGGGAGTGGGTTCCATGCTGTAGAAGGTGGTGAATGACATGGTTATATTGGATCAATAGTGTCTCAAAAGCGTCTCACTTGTGCTAGCTACCCACAACATTCAACACAAGTGATACCCAATCCAGTGAGCTATTTACTGGCTCTAAAATTAAGCGAGCAGAGGCACACACTTTTCGTTTTGTTTATCTGTCACTGATCTATCACTATGATGACATACTTTGACTGGAACTATGTGCAAATCTATTGCGCTGACATAAAGCAGTTTATTGGGGCCTTTTTTACGTCCCCTCTGACTGAATTTGTTTGTGAAGAGGTCAGGTCAAACAGGTCAGCTAGTACGAAAAGGCAAAATATCAGTGTCCTATCGCTAACCGAATGCATTTCATTTGTCTTGATGTGTTCCGAAAGGTTAAACTACAGGATAAAATGATTCAAATGTTTTTATAAAAAGAGCTTGGGAAATTTTAATGCGATTTAGTAATTCACAACTGCATTATGAAACAGAAACACAATACTTTGTGTTGCTCGTGGAAAGATAGAGTTTGGACTATGCTGAAATGCAGCGCAAAGAAACAGACTCCGTGCTCGGTTTGCTTGAGGTCAGCTTTAAATTCATGGCATGAGGAGAAGAGCTGTGGCACAAAGGGATCAAACCACGTTGCACCAGCTTATCCACCAGGCACATGGATTCAGTTAACTGCAGAGCGCAGGTGGTCTGAGGGGGGATTCCAGCCTGTGCGTGTGTGTGCGTGTGTGCGCGTGCCTGCGCGTGCGTGTGTGCCTCCGTGGGTGTGTGCGCAGGTCAATGTCTTTTTTCACTTATGCGACACACGATGCCACACCACATCAAGCAGTCTCTGCTCGGTGCGCTCACACCATGTTCTCATGCTGGAGAAACTTCTAATCTCTAACTGGCTGCTAGAACATTTTACAGATTAACCTAAATTACTGAGTCGTTTATGCACGAGAGCTAATGTTTATTGTGGATTTTGTGTCAAGGCGCTCTAACCCAGAAAACGTGCTGCCGTGCAAAAATCTTTCTCAGTCTGAAGGAGCCTTTCTTTGTGATTTTTGCTGGTTTTTTCTCTTTATTGTAAAAATGTTAAACAGAAAATATTTGGGCCGTTGGATAAACACACAAACATGCAAACTGTCCAAGTGATGGAGCTTTTATTTGACAAAGTGCTTTATAGTTCTTTAGTTAAAACTCTGCAATAACTGAGCTATTTAAGACCAAATCTGATCACTTTTCTGAATTGCTACACCATCACAACATTTGGATACAAAGAGGAGATCCTGTAGTTTTATGCTGTGATCATATTGAGGGGCCCAAGCTTTACTTCTTCTGCTTCTGTGATCACGCGTCACTGTGATTATCTGGACTGTTTTACTAATTTAAACGCTTGTGGTTGTTTTTATTTCTCTGCTTGCTGAAACCAAACCAAATAAATCAAACTGTTCTCGTGTTGTTACACATCTAATGTCAGGTAATCTTTTACTACAGAAATTTGCATCATATCAGTCATGCTGTTTTTAGAATGATTCATACAGTAGTAAGAGATAAACAGCAGGCTCTCTTTCTCCTCTTTGTATCCATTAATTGCTCCATCCCACTCGCCCCTCCCTAGCCACCCCAGGCTCCCACACACAAACTTCTGCTATCAATACCTACTGTTGATGGAAACGGGAAGTTAGGTGTATGGACGTAACCTTTAGAGGCAATTGTTGCTTTCTGAATAAACATTTGTGCTTGTTTGTTTAAAACATGTTGCTGTGATACCTTCCTACCCGACTGTCTTTTCCCGCCATTCCTCACCCTTTCTCCAGTGTTTGCCCAAGTGAGCTCTCTTTAGCTTCTTCAGCCTGCGTGTGAACCTGCGGCTAGTTTTGAGGAAGTTGCTGTTGCTAATGCCAACGGCCACAGCAGAGCGTAACGTGGAGGCGGCGTAAAGATAAAGAGAACACAGATAGTAGATCATGGATAACAACAAAGGGGGAGAAAGCATGTCCATGCATGAGGATTAGAGGTAGGATTATCCAACCATGCTGGTTAACAGTCATGTTGACACACTGACAACAACAACAACTGACTACCTGCTGCTCTGACAGTGGTGCCTTATTTTTGCCATTTCAAAGAAAATGACTGTTTACATATTGAAACATGTGCCTTCATAAAAGCAGGTTGACAGGATGAACTATTCCACTGGCATCATGCTGGGCAATGACCCAAACAGATTTTTCTGGAGCCAACACAAGCACATGTGTGAGGAGCATGCAGAGCAACAGGAACAGCACACAGGTGCTGGAGGTGTATTTAAGATCCAAAATTGCAGTTTCCATTTACCACAGAATTGTTTTTCAGACAGACTGCAACCAAGCCTGGCTGACAGGCAGACAAACAAGCATATCATGTGGTGGATTCAGAGGAGATGGAGATGTTGGCTGGATGTTGCCAGTCAAGACTGACTGAGTAAACAGTTGCCAGAAAGTTGCCCGTCTTACTCACCAAATGACTGATGTACTGGCCGACTAACTGAACGATGCATAAACAAAAGAGCAGAATATTTGCCTATTTTAGGACAGGCTACACTGAGTTAGAGGAACTAATCTGTACTGGGTATCACATTATATGGTTATATAAACTACTATTTCACAGCCGTGTTCGCTGAATTACGCACAAACAACAGGCATCTTCCTAACTGACCGTGCTTGGCAAAAAAAAAAAAAATCTCTCTTTTTCCTGCACTCTCACACAAGGCCAAAAGGATATTAGATCAGTGTTTTGGAGCTACAGAGTTTTATCTGTTTCTGGACTGATACCCATCTTGAGCATACATGAACATATGCAAAACCAGAAAAGGCCCCGACACAGGACGGCATGCAAAACACACCAATGGAAACAACATAAAAAAAAAGGAGCAAATTGGTGTAAAGTCAGACACACTGTACCATCTGCTGGGAATTCACCGTGCCACTCTGCTTTTGGAGGATAACATTTCATTCATTTTAATCATGCGGTATTAAAAGCAATGAAATACTACCCAGAGTCAACTTTAATTTATCTGAGAAAACTATAGATCGTGTTTGAAGATGTAGAGGCTGAACAGAGCAGTGAATAAAACATGAGCTCCATTCATTACCAAAAGCAAACAAATCCCCAGCATAAACAACACCGGACAATTTACTTGAATAGCTCTTTAAAAAAAAAAAAAATCCTAACATAGCTCTAAAACGTACTACTAATATAGCTGACTTTCTGCTATTAGTATAAACTAGATACAACACACCATAAAATGATATGCAAACTCATGCAGCAGATACACAAAGTAGATTGTCATCTGTGTCTGATATGGAGAATGGCAGCCGAGTCTGAAAAGCAACTATATGCTCACATATTAATGCATCTATTAAAGCCCGATATAGCAGCATCAAATACCAGGACCGAACAATATTTAGGGGTACGCTTCAATTGTGGCGCACAGCCTAAAGACTGGCCCCTCTCATTAATGGGGGGATCATCAAAGTACCTGAACAGAGGCGTGCTGCACAGAGGGAACATGTGGTTGGCAAATATTTAGCTTTTCCTTATCTAGCCCTTAACGACAATACATGCAAGTCGCTGTATTCAAATTATGCCAAAGATCTCCAGATTCATTCGCATTTCTGAAATCTATGTATCGCAAAATCAACTAAACTAAGGATCAGTAATTTAATATATTAAAAAAAAACAACACACACACACACACAAAAACGAAGGAAAAAGAAGAGATGAAAAAGTCATTCCTTCAGAATAAAGTGCTGCTCTACTGCTGAGCATATCCAAGGAGCGGAGCTGCAAACACTTTGCCTACTCACCACCATCAGTTTCATCGCCGGTTTGGATTTGGCTATCCGTGAGCTCATCTTCTCTGCGTAAAAGCGAACTGCGGTATGATGGAGTCTCCATCAAAAAGCCTTTACTATATACAGGAGAGAGCGAGAGGGAGAGCGAGAGAGAGACCATGTGCCCACCCACGTTTTCCAAGGCACTGCCTTCTTCCCTCCTCATTCTCCGATCCTAAAAATAAAGTGCAGCATCCATCGGAGCTGCGTCGCGATTAACCAAACAGTGGATGGCGTAGGTGACATCAAAGAAAACAACTTCCAAACGTATCTTGCATGAGGTGGGTTCATCCATCAATTAAGCCAAGTTTGCTGGGTTTCTTAGGGATACAAATATTCCCCAAAAATATGCCACATGTTGTAAATTTAAAAGTCACCCTGCTGCAGCCAGGTTACACCTAGCTAGGCCCAGGACATAATTACATTCTGGAACAAAGGTGCAAAAGTATGTTTCCATATGCACGTTGTGCAGAAGTGTTTACATGTAAAAAAAAAAGGTTAAGCACCTAATTTGACAAGCTAAAAAGCACCAAAAAACCCCACATCGCTTTAATCAGTGTGAATAAAGAAGACTCTTCCAGAATAAATGTTTTGACTCCTGGTTTGACATAATGTAAACATGATGATTGACGTGTGTTTATTTGGACCAGCCAAAATCATTTAGCTAGAGTGGTTGCGCTTATTTGAACATCCCACTGTGGAAAAGGACAATTAAACACCAAAAATATTGTTTTTCTCAGAAGGTTAACCATCACAGCTTGTGTAGAGTGATTGGAAAAGCACAAAGAACTTCAGCTACCCGCTTTAAACTTCATTCTACATAGAAAGCAAAGAGGGAGCTCTTGCAAAAAGATTGTGAATGGATGATGTCACTGGATGACAAACTAGGGAATTAAAGATTTAAAAAGAAAAGCAAATGAAGTCCTTAACCAGACAGAAGTGCACCCATAATTCAGACAAAATCCATGATGAGTTACGTGTAACTCACGCACATAGTAAACCCAAAAGGCCACACACCCACGCTGTGATCTCCGTGATGCTGAATCGATATCCATCTTCCACTGAAAGTCCCAAAACAGATCTGGTTTTCCATTTGTCATTTTGTATCCGCTTAGCATCCACCCCATGCAGAAGGATGACAAAATGTCCCAGCCCGCTGCCGTGACGTAGAAGCGCAAGGTTTCAACGTAAGCAGAGAAAATACACACGGCACACCCACTGACCGGCGTCCAAGGCATTTAGCGAAATGTTAGTGGTGAGGTCACGGCTCACCACAATACGACCAACGCGACACACACAAACGCACACTCGCACATTCAAAGGCATACTTTAAGAAAAGGATACAAAAATACACATGCTGTGCAACTCTTTCAGCACTGAGGTAAGGGTACACCACAACAATAGTGGAGCAGGAGCTGGACGTCCAACCTCTCGAGCACAAACACACAGGAACGCTTGAACGGCGAGCCTTTCTGACGTGCTAGTTGGCACTGAGGTGTGCAGTGTATTCGCAGGGTAAACGTGGGTGTTAAGAGGTGAAGTGGAGCATGACCGCTCCACCGACACACATACACACACATCTAAGTCACACAAGTGCAATTCGCTGAGTTGTCCTATGCCCATAAATTGCTGGCTGGTTTTGGCCTGTCAACGGTTGTACTACAGTTATTTTTAATAGCCTGTCAAAATGTACTCAAGGCTAGGTCTCACTATGTGTCTGTGTTTCTGCATGCATATATTGCATATGAATGTAGAAAGAGTGCAAATACTTTTTTAAAGGGGGGGAAAATCAGTGTGTATGCGGATAACAAAGGACAATCTGTACAACACGCACAAAGTTTCAAGTAACTCTAAAGGCGATGCTTGATAAGCACAAACAAAGATGTGGTGATTACTTAACTGTAGCATTTTATCATCTTTTTATCAAATCTCTGGCAGGTGATCCACTTCTCACAGCAGCAGTACCACTATTGTTTAGGACCATGGCAACTTCTCTTTAGCAAGTACTGTCTGGGTGCATGGCATACGATGCTGTGTGTGCCTGACCTGACTAACTCCATGGATGTCTGAGTGAGCTGCCCAGTGCTGTACCCATCTCAGACCAACTCATTTCCATAACAGATTTCATAAACGAATGAGTAAAAAAGGGAACTTGTAACTGTTATTGTGTCGGCAGTGTCACCTGAAGGCTGAAAGTTACAAAGAGCTCTTTTAATATGTGCAATGAAAACTTTTCACCTAATCATGCAAATAAAGGATAACTGCAGGTAATCAGAAACAGAAGACAATCAAAACCCTGGAATTAACTGTAGCAAAAACCCCACCTGCAAAAAGTGCACAACACGTTGTTATGGTAGCAACTGAAGGGTAAACTTGCAAAACACCTAAATGCTGATGTAGCAAAAGCTTTGATTTTAATTAGATTTTAATTTTGATTTTATATGTGTGCAGATTTGCACACTAATTGCATGCTCAACCATGCCATGCTAAAAGAAAGAGACAATCATTTGCACTAACTTTCACACCTACAGGCAACCTAAGTCAGGGGTGGGCAACTCCAGGCCTCGAGGGCCAGTGTCCTGCAGGTTTTAGATGTGTCCTTGATCCAACATAGCTAATTCAAATGGCTAAATTGCCTCCTCAACATGTCTTGTAAGTCATGTCCGAATTCATGGGCTGAATCCTCCTGAGGACCTGGCCTTTGTGGTCTACGTGGGCAGATTCAGAAGGTCGGGTTGGCCGGAAGTAAACGGCTGTGAAATTGGACAGTCTAGCTTTCAGATTTGCGTCACCGCTGTCTCGGTGGAGTTTAATAAACTCGGCCGTCTGCTCCTTGCTATCTAAAATATAACAGGACACTGGCGTAAATTCTCGACCATCTCACACTTCTATTTAATCAGTTTTCTGTTTGACGTTTATTCAGCTGTGTGAAAACCCCGGAGGAACCCTTAATTAATAAAATTACATTTAATTTAATCTAATCTAATAACTTTAATGTCAGCCAAACCGATTTACTCACGAACAAATAAAACACTGAAAAAGCCAAACAATAACATTTTTAAATTATCAAAGTGACTTGTATATCATGTTTAACCCGAGTAGCGAAAGACCGCGGGGGTTTGAAGACGATGTGTCGGTCGGCTGAGATATTTGAAGTTTACACAGCTACATTCTCTCCTGAAAATATGTTAAAAGTTTTTTTGCGACCCAGAAAGAGAAATAAGAGTAATATTAAAACTAAGTATCTGTCGCCATTGTTGGAAACTGGAATTGGCTTTGGCCGTGCTGTGAATTCTGCGATATGGTTTTTCAATTTTGTTGTCCGGATGGACAATCGGGAGAAATTCGGGAGAATGGTGGCTCCGGTATTCTCCCGGAAAAATCGAGAGGGTTGGCATGTATGGTTGTGGCAACATCACTAACCTTGTCAAACACCTCATAGTAAATCATATCACAGAATATGACGAGCGTATGTTGAGGTGAACTGAAGAGGAGGACAGGGACAGGTGCTGCTAGGGCGAGACAGACGTCTCTCACGGAGTACTTTAGTGCGGCAGGCAGGCAAGGTCTTCAAATAGCGCACAACTTCAGGTTTTTTTTATTTCTATATGATGAACTCTGCATTATTAAGTGATAAGAACAAGTAATCTGATGTCCTGTAATCATTATGACGCTATAATTTGAGATACAATAAATAAAATACGTTTTTGTACAAAGTATCGGTATCGGATCAGTATCGTCGATCCCACCCTTGGTATCGGATCGGAAAGAAAATCAGTGGTATCGCACATCACTATTATCTAAGTGACTTATATATTATGTTTAATCTGAGCAGCGAAAGACCGCGGTGATCTGAAAATGATGTGCCGGGAGTTGTGCCGTTCTAGTAACCCTCGAGCTCCCGGCTACGTATCGAGCTAGTGGGTAACAGACGTCTCCAAAAACGTCGGAGCACTTTTGCAAATATGTGATATCTTGATAAACCCAGCAGATATTTAAAGTTTACACAACTGCATTCTCACATGAAAATATTTTAAAAGTTCATTTTGTGACCCAGAAAGATTAATAAGAGTAATTTTAAAAATTAGTAACTCCAGAAGCTGGAGTTTGGCTGGGCCATGCTATAAATTCTGGGATATGGTGGGCCACGAAGGACACACTGGCCCCATCCTGTAAATTTGGGGAAATGAAGGACGCATTTATCAGCTGCATTCGGAGGAGTCTACGAATTTGGACAGCCTTCGGCACGTCGCTGTGACGTAATCAGTCTACAAATGGGGCCTCAGGAGGATGCAGCCCATGAATTTGGACACCCCCGTAGTTCTGCAGAGGTCTGGTAATGAACTAATCATTTGATTCAGGTGTGTTGACCCAGGGTGATATCTAAAACCTGCAGGACACCAGCCCTCGAGGCCTGGAGTTGCCCACCCCTGCCCTAAGTGCATGTCGTTGGACTGTGGAAGGAAGCTTGAATATCCAGAGAGAACCCACACAGACACGGGGAGAACATGCAAACTCCACAGATGGTGGTTTCCAACAACCATGCCACCGTGCTGCCAAGTCTATAGAGTCAAATTATTGAATTGTGTCACTGAATGTCCTTTTTGACCATTACACATAGTTATTGAACAACATTCAAATATTTTTAGTGCAAATATTGATTGAATTATGAAAAGCAAATGTTTATTTTTTTTTAAAAACATCCTTCTTGGTGGTTAATAATAGTAACATGAACGCGTTATAATAATAAGTTTCATTAGTGAAGGTGTGATATGGTTTAGATAAGGTTTGCAGCATCTATTGAACGGTGGTGTTTAGTCATACTGCAGACATCTAAAACTATTAGTTTCACTTGGGTCATCTTAGCTCTGCTCTAAGTTAGTGGGCTAAGGTGATGTTAATGCAAAAGGTTTTCAGGAAAGCCTGGCCACATCACTTTAATCTCTGTTGTTGTACAGACACAAAAGAAGAAGCACGTTGCCCTGTTAAGGATCTTGACCTTCTCATATTCTACCCTCTGCCTTCATGCGGTCCACCTCAAAGTTCTTATTTCAGGACATTTTATACCTCTCACTGCCTGGGCCCCTCAGATGGAAATCACAGTGGACAAGACTTTATTTTACTAACTGATGCAAAAGCC